GCCGCGGGACACGGGCGGGCTCCGCCCGGGCGGCCCCGGGGCGGCTGCTCCGGCGTCCCCCGGGCCGGGCGGGGCTGGCCGGGCCCTTCCCGGGACGGAGCGGACACACGGGAGCGCCTCGGTGCTGCCCGAGCCGGGCGCTCGGCACACGGGCTGTACCCGGGCGCACCGACAGCAGCCCCGCCAGAGTTTGCCCCCGCCGGTCCCTGGGCGCTGCCCGCAAACCGGCGTTCGCTCATCTCATCCCGCGTGGCCACGGCCCCTGCACGGGCGCTGCGGTTGAGTGAACGCTGCAACCAGACACGAGCGATGTCTGCTGCACAAAAGCTTCACTGCTCCCACACGGGTGCTGCTGTCACGCAAACACCACCAGACGAGCCGCACAAACAAGCTCCGTGTGTTCGCTAATTTAAGGTGTTGCTTTGACAGTTCCATTGCAACTTTTATTTCAAAAGCACTGGAGGCCCGGAGGACAGAGGGAGAGCCAAGGCAATGCTAGTGGCTGTATAGCAGTAGCAGCCTGTGAAATCTATCATGCAGCACCAGAACTGGAGCTTTGACTAAAATTGTTTTTCGAAGTGCTCATTTCTTTATCTAAAACAAGTGTACCTGAGCTCAACATTCCTGCCAAGTGATTTCTCACACCACATATTTGCATTATGACGTTGTCAGTTATGCTTTTTCCAACCTTTTCTGCACAAACAAAGCAGTGCCATTGTCTCTACCGGTCCTCTGAGGACCAGTGGTTCCTAAGGAAAATCCACATGGAGCCTGACCCATCATGGAGAACAATGACCCTGTGATTAAGCCTGGAGAGGCGGTCTGTGGGTACTGGCTGACTGAGGCTTGAAGTTATGAGGGAGGAAATGGTTTGGGATTGCTTCCTTCCTTTTGCACTCTGGGAAGCTTTTGTAACTGGACTTGTACCCGTGTCATTAACTCACTCCGTTTTTTCTCCACCTAAGTGGAAAAATCTACAGAACCTTGAATTGTTGACTAATTATTCAGGTCTGAAGGATTAGGAGAAGAGAAGATGCACTAAATATAAACAGACTGTGTCAGCAAACTTGGAAGAGTTACTTTAACAGCCTTGTGTCACGCAGCAGAGTAAAATACTGGTCAGTGTCTGTCCTTACGTTCTCTAGAACAGCGCCAGAGAGGGTTGCATTGGGTTGTTCTCGTGTTCTTACGTGAACTTTACCGTGCAGCTGCCTCAGCGTTGTGCCTTCACGGCGCTCAGCACCACGGGTGCTGTGCCTGCACCAGAGCCCAGCTGCCCCTGACCGGGGTGTGCCAGGAGAAGAGCCTGGTGCTGACCCTGGTGGGGTGCTCACTGTCCTGTTTCAGGTGCAGGGGCAGCAGCAGTGCCTGGCAGCTAAGGAAATAAGTATCCCTTCAAATAGCCAGAGCGAGTTTGTTTTGGAGTTTTTTTCTACTATTCTCCTGGCAAATACTCTTCCTCTGTAACTCACTCAGCGGCAAGACCATCAGTACTGGCCAAACAAATGCACACAAAGGGGCCGCCCACCAGGTCTTTACCTTCCTAAGGGACTACCTTAGCATAAAGAAATTTATCCTCCCCCTGCTGCAAGTGGGATCCACTGAGTACAAGATGAAAACCATCTCAGCCAGCTTCTGCCCCTCGTGAGAGGGATGTGCTGGTCTTGGAGCTGGCGGCCATCCTGCTCCACACAGAGAGCTGAGCCCCGACCTTCCCAGGGCCAAGCATGTGAGGACTGAGCCTTTCCTGGGACAAACAGCCCTGAGCTGCAGCTGCCCCATGGCTGTGTGCACTGACCACAGTGAGGTTAGAGTGAACCCCTTGTTTTGGTTGGGACCTCTCCATATGGTTGTGCAGCTTTATGAGGAATTAAAATTCTTTGGAACGAGGCCTGGCCTTTGTCTGATTCTGCAAATGTGCAAAAGTTTCAGCATTGTACTTTAATAGCAATATTTATTCAAATCCTGATTCCAGTGTTTATCTTTCCTAGTGCCTTGCTGCATAAATGGTTGCACTGCAATTATTTGCACCAGTAAAGGAGTATGGGGGCTCTTCTGAGAAGTGGAGGCTTTAAAATCTGACCTTTAAGGAAAATCACTCACTGTGTAAAAGACAAGTCTTGATTTTTATTTCTCAAATTGCCATTTGCTTTTAAGATCTCTTTTGTGAGGTGTTGTAAGAGCACTAGTTCAAGAATACCATGAAAATTGAAGTTTGGGTTCAGTGTGTGTTCACTGCACACTTGCTTTTGGGCCCAGCAGAATGCATTATTTATATTTCTGTGTATGTATATCTTGGATCTGATGTGAAGCTTTTAATTACACAATGACAAAATGCATGCCCCCTGTAATTAAGGAAATTTTCCTTTCTTTAAATCACATGTTTATATGCTCACGGACAAAAATGCGTGTCAGGCAAACAGTCATGAGTGGTGCATCTTCAGATCCTGCTGGGAAAACAGCTCTCCTTTTGCTTCTCTGTGCAAAGCAGATGGGAGATAGAGATCAGAGAGGGATCTGGCGGGAACGCTGTCTCCCCTGCCCAAGCCCAGGGAAGATGGAGATGACAGACATGTGAGCTCATGTGCCTGGTGCTGCCTCAGGACCCAGCAGAGCCAATCATCAGCCCTGCAGGGATTTCCTCGGCTCAAGGGCTGGGTTCACATCCTGACTCCAGAACAGGAGTGCTGGTCCATGTGGGTCAGGAGTCTGAGCTGAGCCTGCCAGATTAGCACTGCTGGTTCTAGCATGAAGGAAAAGACATAGGCTGCTCTTCTGATCGAGGGAACAGCATTTTTTTAATGGGAAATTATGTTTTGTAGTGGCAAGCTTCTCATTCACATCTGACTGCATCTTTCTAGTGGAGTAAGAACTGTTTAAGGCGCACTGAGAAATGGAAATCAGTCACATTACAAGGTGAGCCTCACTGGTTATGAATGGTGGAATGGTGCCTTCTGGGAAGTGGTCTTTAGGCAAATCCCTTTCTGCAAAAGGATTAGTTAATAAGATGGGACATAATCACTCTGTCTGGGGTGGGCGTTTTCTTGTTCTGTGCACTCAGCCCCCGTGCTGGTTTTCTTTGTTGCTCCCTCAGCTGCTGCCAGAGCTCTGTCTGGGGTTCCCAACAGAGCCTGTGCAGGGAATGAGGGGCTCCAAGTACTGGAGCTGCAGAGTAACCAGTGAGAGGCACAACATGTGGTGTAACTTTCACAAGCATTTTCTCCGTGAGGCTGTCAACTTACTAAGTGTTATCTTTAAAATGTTTGAAGAGGAATTTAAATTGCCAACTGAATCATTCAAACAGCAAAAGTATTGACAGAGAAGTCAAATTAGGTCATCTTGCCTGCCACTGCCAAGGCATCGTTTTTCTCCGATGGGTATTTTCTGATGACTTTGCTAATTCATTTGCTGTTTGTCAGGGCAGTGGGCAGTTTCTTAACTGGAAAAACTCTGCATCCTCTGCTGGCAAACTTTGTGCTGTTTCCCGGATCCCAGATGCTTTGTGCGACATCATTCTATCTGTAATAAAACCAGAAAATAGAAAAAGTGAAGCATGTCACAGCTTGCGACTTGTTCACATGTCACTGGAAGTTGCTTATTACACCAGGAAGCATCTCGGGCTCCATAGCTGTGACTACAATGTTCATTAGACTCAGACAATGTTGTGTTATTTGAAGGAAAAAGATTGTTGACATTAGGTGGGATTTGACTCCCTCCTTCACCAATGCTCACGAGCTCGAGCAAAGGAAAGTCATGTCCTGAATGAGGACATTTCCTTCCTTGATGTCAAATCCATACAGAATGGCTTTACACTGGTTTTCCTGTGGGCCTGGAGGCAGCAGATCTTTGATTGCACATGAAAGGGATGTAATAATAGTGTAACTTTGTTAGCATGATAAATGAGCGTCGGCTTTCATAGCTCATTTTCCTCTAAAGTCTGTGGGTTCACCCAGAGAAGCACTGGGAAGCAGCAGGGCAGTGGTAGTGGCAGGTTAACACTGATTTCTTCACCCTCATCTGCTTCCTACAGGGCTTGATAAAAATGCATCCCTTCACTTACATGCATGTGAAGTAGCAATGGTGAAATAGGCCTGAGTTGTCTTGTTTCATGCAAAGTCAGAGCTGCCTTTTCATACTGTGCAGTCCTGATTTACTAGGGTGTCCTGTTTTTGGAGGCTGCCAGACAAACAGGGTTTTTCTGCTGATTCATTCTTGCAGCAACACCAGGACAGCCCCCAGCACTGCCTTTCATGCACCTCAGGGAGAGTCATGCTAAGGACAAACACAGAAGAAACAGTGAAAGAGCCAAACTTGACAAGAAAATTTGATTGTCCTACTTACATTTCAAAGCAGAGGTCGGAGATGACTGGGCTCTTTTGTTCCCCAAGAAATGGCACGTTCATGAAGGGCAGGTGACTGACAAACCTGCTCTCAGTCAGCTGGGGAGGGCCAGGGGCTGATGCCTCCATCACCATGCTCCAGTTTCTAAACTTTTGGACATAGCAGGTTAGAAGATGAGACAGACCTTTGTGATCTTCCAGGCTGCTCTGCATATCAGTCCCTGAGGGACTGCTGTGCGCAGGGTGGTGTCTTTGGTGAAATCCTTTACCAAAGTCAAACCGCCGCAGAGTCAGAAAGACAAAGCATTTGACTCTGTCAAAAGCCTGTTCAGTGTTTCATATCAAAGCCACAGGGAAAGTGGGTTCATAGCATGGTAATTTCAATTGCAAAATGCTATTGTATTGTTGGAGGGTGTAATTTCAAGCAACACACACAGCCTGACTTCAGCGTGCTGTCAGTCTGTCATGCTAACAGAGACCACAACTCTGATGAGCAGCTGGAAGTTATAATGTTCTATACTGGGTTATTCCAAGAATATTTCTGAAATGCAGTAATGCTTTTTGCTCCCAGATTTGTTTAGTGCAGAGCAAAATCTATGGAAAATTTTGGCATTTCAACGTGTTGGGTTTTTTTCTCTTCCTGAAATGAGCTGCTAGTCAAAATGTTAACAAATAATAATTGTGGAACAAGGGTTCTGAAAATTTCCCTGTGGGGAATCTGGACTCTCCTTCTCCCTCTCCAAGTCCTCCAAGGAAGGACTATTATCTCCTCCTCAGTGCCCTAGGACTCCTGTGGCACTGCAGGCCTCGCATTCAGATGCAAACTGAGTCACCCAGTCATGAAGTTGTGGGGACAGAAGGGGACAGAGATAAAGCTCTCACAAGGCAGAAGAAGTAATGTTTTCAAGAGAGTCAGAAGCACAGATCTGGCATCAGTATGAACCCCAAAATATTCCAACCTGGCTAGAGTCTGCTGGGGCCACCTGAAGTAACAAGGAGGAACAGGTGGTGACCCAGCAGGTTGTGCACATCAGGTGAGCTCCAGCCACCTTTAAGATGGAGGTAGTTCAGGACCACCCCAGAGATGTAACTCCAGACTTCCAGGAACAACCAAGTAAACTTGCAGATATCTTCTGTTGGTTGCAGGTCAGTGGGCATCTTCAGGATCACAGTTTGGGGAAGGGTGAAACTGTAGCCACTGTAAGAGCTGTCTAGCTTTTGTGGAGTAGACTGTTAGGGATTGGATGAGATGGATTTACATAAGAAAACACACATTCAGTATAAGTTTGAAGCCTAAAATATTCTGCCATTACATGTGCCAGATTCACTTCAAGAGCAGCCAGCTCAGCTCCTCTGAGTTCATGGTCTGCCTCTCAAAATCAGTCTCTTTCCACCTGTTCCGTTTGTTCCCTGATTCCCAGATGGCATCATCATCCAGCATCTTCCCCAAGCTGTGCAGCCTGGCTTGGCTGGTCTCACTCTGCGTTTGGCCTCTGTTGTGATGGCAAAGGCTGACTTGCTTCCAAACATCAGTCTGCTGTTGTGACTGCCTCTCATTCCAGCCTATCCCAGGGATCACCAGCTACTCTCCTCTGTGCCTGCTTTTGTTCCCAGAAAGGACTTTGAGGACTAAGCTGAGATTTCCTTGTTTCCATGGTGTTGCACTTGACCTAATCAACCATTGCAGACCTCAAATGTCCTTGCCTTCAACCTCCCTGCCCATGGCTTCAGGAGAGCGCACTGATGCTCTACAGCAAAAACAGGTGGTGTATCTAGAGATAATTAGTGATTACATGCTAGTGATTACAAGCCTATAATGAGTAATTAGATGTCAACAGAGTAGAATTACAGTGGATTTAAAGGCACTATGTTTGTTTGTTTGTTTATATGGTTCCTTGTGGTTGTGAGGAAGCAAGCAGTCAAATATGTTTTGGCCAGGCTCGTGAAGGAGGCAGAGCTGCCATTTGTTCACATTTTTTGTCATGGCCCTGTCCCCTCTGGTATAACCAATGACAGAAGCTGTGTAAGTTCCACAGGAACCAGGCTGTGACTGAAGATCCTGGTCTGTTTTCCTGTCAGCCCATTTGCTGCTACTTTGGAGGAAAACTGTACTCTCTAAACTGAGTGACTGATGCCTTGCAGGAACTAGAACCTGTGCTTGTTATGGTCAGGACTACTTCTTAATTTTTCACTTAATTTTCACACCCCCAGCTAATCTAGTTATGTTAGAAATTGTGTTCAGTCTGTATTCGCTGTCCCACCAAACTTTCCTTTGAAATCACTGTGAGATTATCCTACTCCCTTCCACACAGATGTTAAAAATAGATAAAAATAGATAATGTCCATCTATGTTCCTTTTAAGTATGTCCCAGGGAAAAGCAAACATAGCTTACAGGCTCCCTTTCTCAGGGGATAGAAAAAGGCTTCTGTACTACCAATATCCATCACCCCAACACAGCCTGCCCACCACCTCCTTTGCAAGATCACTCTTTTGCAAATGGTCTTGGAATGGGATCTTCCCTAAACTCTTCTTCAGCTGCTTTTGTGAAACCCAAGACTCTGTCTGACGCTGCATCAAACACACCTGGAAGACATGAAGAACTCACCTGAAAAAGAGGAACTTAGTCCAGAGTAAATCTTGCCAAATCAAGGTCAGCGTCAGCTATGACAGACCCACAGGGTGGAGGAGAGAAGGTTGTGCCAGTTCTAGACCACCCACCATCCCTATTTCCCAGGGAAATCCTCACCTTAGCTTATAGGATTACCATGTTGCACAGACACTAAATTAACATCAATGTTTTATCTGTATAATACATGCTCATACCCACCTTTGCTCAGGATGAAGGGGCTTTTCCTAACTTCTGGCTTGGTTCTTTCCTCTCAGCTGTTTTTACTTCTAAACCAGTGGCCTGTGAGTGCCACACCACAAGCAGAGTGTGGTGGAAGGAGCTGAGCTGACTCATCAGACCACAGGCTCATTCCTGTCTAATAGGGAATTGTGCACCACAAAATTCCATTGTGCTGAGCGTCACCACTCTACGAATTTTACTAAATATGAAAAAAATAAAGACCAAAGAGAGAGATGAACTGATAAAGAGCCAGATGCTTTTTTGTGGAGAGGCTGGAACCCAAGGTCAAATTGCAGCATTTTACAGAGCACGGGTGAGTTATCAGCACCAATTGCTGTGAACTTTCTAACACGGTGAGGTGTTTGGGGTTGGGAAAAGGCAGCTTGTTAGTCATTTCCCTACAAAAGCATATGAATGTTGTATCTGTTCATGATAAACTTTGAATGCCTGAAGTTGAAATCAGTCTGCACCCCAGATGTGCTAATGCCTTAACTGCAATACAGCTTTCGTGCATCCATAAAACACACAGTATTTTAAGAATTTCAGACCCATAACTGCCAAATGAACCACTTGCAGTCTGTGGAGCTAAAACTCTTTTCCTTTTCCCTATACTTGTTCCATTGCTACAGAGTTCTCTTGATAGAGCATGGATAAGAAGGTGGCAGGTTACTTTTGCATTAACTGTTAGTGATTTACCTTTCCATTATTTCTGACACTGTGATACAGAA